CAATAGCATACATTTATTTGACAGGCCTAAAACGGCTGTATACTGCTAAGATTTCTATTATAGAAGCAAGAAAAAAGTGCCCTTGTACTTTCTGTCCCTCTGATTGCGGCAGCCAAGATTGAGCAGGGGAATGCAGGAGCAAAGGATGGTAATAAAGGGAAATTCATGGGGAGAGAATTTTTGCAACTCAGACAAAACCTTGTCTATAGTGAAGAGCCTGTTTTACTGCAAACAAGAATCTGAAATTTGGATTAAAGCGATAAGAGTTAAGATTACAGGGACTGAAAATTACTTATTTTTCCCAATGAAGAGTCAGGTCCATTTCCTTTTCCCTTGAATCTTCACTGGCCTGTGCCTGCTTTAACCAAAAGATATCTGGAGAGTGACTCTATGAAAGTTCTGGGACTAGCGTTTCAGAAGATGTGGCTTTGATACTGGTCTCATGGAATCCTAAGGCTTCATGGAAGAAGTCCTTCTAGCTTGCTGCAGAGACCATGTGGAGAAGTGATGAGACCACGGGGAAGAACAGCCCATCTGAGCATAACCTGCATCCATACCCACCAGAGGACCACACTTGTAGATGATGCTGTGCTGGAATCTCCAGACAGGCCAATTGCTGGCTGAACATCATGGAGTGCCACGGTTAACACCATGCAGAGAGTAATCACAGAACCAAGCCCTGCCCAAACTGGTGACTCACAAAATCATGAGATATGATAAACAGTTTGTTGATTTACATTGCCAAGTTTTAGAGTAATTTGTTGTACAGTATCAGTTAACTGGACAACAGCTTACTGTTTAAAGTAAAACTATTAATGATGCAGGGTTGATAACTGATGTGGCTGGGATGTTTTGTCCCCTCCAAATCTTATGATGAAATGTGATGCCCAGTGTTGGAGGTGGAACCTGGTAGGAGGTGTTTGGTGAATCACGGGGTTTAGCTTAGTGCCATCCCCTTGGTGATGAGTGAGTTCTCACTCAGTTCATGCAGATCTGCTGGGTTAAAACAGTCTGGGGCCTCTCCTTTCTCTTTCTCTTGCTCCTCCTCTCACTATGTGACACACTGGCTCCACTTTGCCTTCTGCCATGATTGTAAGCTTCCTGAGGCCTCACCTGAAACAGAAGCTGCTATGCTTCCTATACAGCCTACAGAATCATGAGTCAATTAAATGCTTTTCTTTATAAATTACTCAGTCTCTGGTATTTCTTTATAGCAACACAAGAAGAAACTAACACAATAACAAAAACAAAGGTAAAATGTATGACAACAGTAACAAAAAGAGGAAGAAGGTAAATAGAAATATGCTGTTGTCTTTTAAGGGCATAATGTCAATTCAAGGTAGATTATCATACGTTAAGGATGTATAAAATAATCCCTAGGCAACCAATAAAAATTGGTTTTAGCTAAAAAGTCAATAAAATCGATTACAAGAAATGCTAAAGTATACTTGATAAATCCAAAGGAAGGCAGGTAATGCGAAAAAAGGGAAAAAATAGATTAATGAAAACAAATAGAAAAATTGTAGACCCCAAACCACACTTAACAGTAAGTATATGAAAATGAGCTAACCATTCCAAATGAACAACAGAGACACAGAGACTGTCAGAATGAGTAAATAAAAAATAAAAACAAGATTCAACTACATACTATTTACAAGGGACACTCTTCAAATATAAAGACATATACAGTTTAGAAAAAACCAGGCAAATACTAACCACAAGAAACCTGTATTAATATCAAAGTAGGTTTTTTAAGATAGGGAGTACTAGGAGAGATAAATTAGCATTATCATTTCCTCATGATGAGTGGGTCAATGCAGCAAGACAGTCATCTAACAACAGAGTCTCAAACTACATGAAGCAAAAACTCTCAGAAAGAAAGGGAAAAAGAGCTGTCACTGAAAAATTTAACCCTCAAAAAAATAATAAGGGTACAGATTATATGAAAAACACTACCAAGCAGTTCTACCTCATTAATATTTATAGAACACTACACCCCCCAGACAGAAGAATACAGTCTTTTCAAATGCATATGGAACATCATTCATCAAAGGAGACCATACTTTGGGCCATAAAACAAGTTTCAGAAAATACCAAAGGACAGAAACCTTACAAAGTATGTTTTCAGATAACGAAAGAATTAAATCATAAATCGATACCTAGAAAGTCTCCAAACATTCAAGTGCCACACTTCTAAACAGTTACTAATGAAAAGAAAAAAATCACGGGGGATATGAGAAAATATTTTGAACTGAATGATCGTGGAAATATGTCAAAGTTGATGAGAGGCCGCTAAAGCAATGCTTACAGAAAAACTTTCGTAAAGGAAAAGTTTCAGTTTTAAGTGCTTATTTTAGAAAAGAAGAAAAGGTTAAAATCAATGATCTAAGTTTCTATCTACAAAGACTTTTTAAAAATATATTTTAAGTTCTGGGATACATGTGCAGAACGTGCAGGTTTGTTACATAGGTATATATGCGCCATGGTGGTCTGCTTGCACCCATCAACCCATCATCTAGGTTTTAAGCCCCGAATGCATTAAGTATTTGTCCTAATGCTCTCCCTCCTCTTTCCCTCCACCCCCCTGCCACAGGCCCTGGTGTGTTATATCCCCCTCCTTGTGTTCATGTGTTCTCATTGTTCAATTCCTACTAATAAGTGAGAATATGTGGTGCTTGATTTTCTGTTCCTGTGTTAGTTTGCTAAGAATGATGATTGCCAGTTTCATCCATGTCCCTGCAAAAGGCATGAATGCCTTTTTTTATGGTGTATATTTGCCATATTTTCAAAGACCTTTTGAAATATGTATTTCAAAGACCTTTTTATGGTGTATATTTGCCATATTTTCAAAGACCTTTTTTTAAAAAAGCAAAGTACAGAGGCCGGGAGTGATGGCTCATGCCAGTAATCCCAAAACTCTGGGAGGCCAAGATGGGCAGATCACTTGAGACCAACCAGGGCAACATGGTGAAACCCCATCTCTACTAAAAATACAAAAATTAGCCGGATGTGGTGCCAGACGCCTATAGTTTCAGCTACTCAGGAGGCTGAGTAAGGAGAATCGCTTGAACCTGGCAGGCAGAGGTTACAGTGAGCTGAGATTGTACCACTGCACTCCAGCCTGGGTGACAGAGCAAGATTCTGTCTCAATCAATCAATAAAAGCAAAGCATAGAAAGACAAAGAGCAGAAATCAATGAAATAGAAGAAATGGGCTAATATAGAAAATCAATGATTCGAAATCGGGTTCACTGAAAAAACAATCAATAAAACGGAGAAAACTTTTGCTAGGCTGATCGAGAAGCAAGGCAGAAAACACAATTTATCAATACCAGGAATGAAAAAGCCATCATCACAGAACTATAGGTGTTAAAATGACAATAAGATCATGTTGTCAAACAAACGTGACACTTAGATTAAATGGACAAATTTCCTGAAAAACATAAATTAACCAAACTGAGATAGGAAAAAATAGGCCGTTTAGTCCTATAATCATTAAAGAAATTGAATTTGCAATCAAAACTTCCCCACAAAGAAAATTCCAAGCCCAGATGACTTCATTGTTGAATTCTATCAAACATATCATTTCTATACAAATTCTTTCAGAAACGGAAGACTTTCCATTTGGTTTTATAAGGCCAGCATTTCCCTGATACAGAAATGAGATAAAGCCATTGTAAGAAAACTGCAAACCAATATCTGTCATAAACACAGATGCAAAAATTGTTAACAAAATATTAGCAAATGGAATCTAGCAGTAAATAAAAATTAACTATACCTTAAGACAAAGTAGAGTTTTGCATTTTAAAAAATCAGTCATAATCAGCACGTTAAATAAGACGAGAAATAATCATCTTACTAGAAAAAAAAGGCTGACAAAATTTTACATCCATTCATGATAAAATCCTAAACTAGGACTAAAAGGGAACATTTTTTTTAAGCTGATATAAAAGCATGCACAAAAGCCTATAGTTTACATCATATGTGATGGTAAAGACAGCATTTTCCCTCTAAGATTGGAAACAAGGCACAGATGTCTACTTGGGGCTCTCCTCTGTACAAATGTGTCTCAAGCAAATAAGGACTCACAGGGAAAGGTATCTGGGCCAGAGACAACTTGGAACCCTCTGAGAACTGCCTGTCTACCTTTCCTGAATTTCTAAGACTTGTCTAGTCCTGGAAAAGTCTTTATTTATGGCAAAGCTCAAGTTTCCCTTCTATTCAAGTGAAATCATCATTTCTTATTACAGACTCCTTCTGGCCTCCAGACACAATTCACTGTTACATCTTATTAGAGTGTTCATTCTAAGGTATAAATCTCATATTGCTCCTTTGCTAAAATCCTTTAGTAACTGCCCAACAGACCAGGTTGCAATTCAAATTTCATAGCATGAAATGCCAAGCCCCTACCTACTACTTCTCATCTCTTGCCTCTTCCTGCTGGTGTCCTGATAGCCAACCATACGGACATACATGCAGTTCCATAAAGTCACGGTACTCTCTAAGACTGCCAACCTCTGTACCTATTATTCCCTCCATATAAATAAAATACCCTTCCCTGACTTCCAAACCAAATTAATAGAAACTTGTCAAAAGCCCAATTTAGTTACTGCCATCTCAAGAAAGCCTTTGATGTCCCCTTATTCTGTCTTAGAAACTTTCCTCATGTCCTTTGTGTTCTCAACATGAGATGTATTAAAAAGTATCACTTTCTACTTAATAGCCTATTTAAAAGTCGGTCTGAGCACCAGACTGAGAACACCTTTGAAGGTAGAGACTTATTTTTATCTCAGTTCTCCAATAATTCCTTGGCACGCACTGCAGACTCAGAAATGTTTACTGAATGACTACATGGCTGAATGAGTGAGTGGCATCTATTTATTTGCTAAATTTACTAGTTTCACTTATACTTTAACAATATTACAAAAAATTATAAAATTCATGAAAGTAATTTCTCCCTACAAAACAATAGTGCTTAAAAAGTGCTATATTAAAATTCACCTTCTTAGCTTTTCCTTGCTTGAATGAAGAAGAGAAGTCTTTCTGCTTCTCTCGGGCTCTGACAATGAAGCATTTAATTCAAGCCCATTGCCATTTCCTAGAGATTCAGGGCTAGAAACAAGAAAAAAATCACACCACACATTAAAAGGGAAAATTGTCAGGTAAAATTAAACAATACACACCAATATACTAAACAAAAGACACTTCTCTAAGTCTCTTGCTTCATACAAAGGGGCAATAGTGTCAAAGCACCTTATCTTATATATTTGGTGCAGAATGTTTATTTTAAAATTTCAAAAGAATATATTACCAAAATCATCCTAAATTCAATGACTGATCAAAATTCTAAAATAAATTGTTAACAATAGATACAAGCAGGATTAAAACATTCTGACCTCATCAATTATGACTATACCACACACACACACACACACACACACACACACACCCCATATATATAAAGTCATATAGACTTTATCCACCCTTCAGGAGGAAGATTACATTATAGGAAAAAAGCACAAAGGATTAGAAGGTCAAGATACACCCTAGTCCAACCCAAACAGCAAAGCCCAGGTTCCCTCCATTTAAAAATCTGTCATTTAATGGACATCTTCTGGCTCTACTATTTTTGCAGAACTTCTTCAGGCATTCTGATTTAAAAACATATTAATCTAAGAAACTTGCAAACTAATCCTATTTCCTCTATCCTAAGATACATAATTTGATTTGACATCTTTATTTATAGAGGTAGGATGCTGAGGAAAGACAGAAAGATTCAAGATGAGTAGAGATCAAAAAGCACATGCACACTATGTAGTCATAAAAACCTTTTTAAAAAGAAAAGCAGTTGCAAGTAATGTAAGAAAATCATGAAGCCTTCCAAAACCTTTCCCAGCCCCATATCCTAGATAAGGGTTAACACAGCAAGCCTCTTTAAGATTAAAATGTTACATAAGACCAAGAAAGCTGTTGGTATCTCTGCGTTACCAAAGTCAGCTTTGGTTTAACCGCACTTACTGACTGCCAAGTCCCTTTCTTGTTCAAAACAGCAGATGGTCACATTCTACAAATTCTGGAAGTGACTAACTTAAAATTCTCACCATCATCAGTACCCATGCCCTCAGCAGTTATGTCCATTCTTTGTATCCCTAGGCTGTACTTAAAACCTCCTTGGAAATCAGCTTAAAGTGAAGGGAAGAAACTCATTAAAATTCAATTTTATAAGAATACTCGCATTGGAAGAGTCTGATCCCCAGTTCAACTGTCTACCCAAAGCAGGTTTGAATGCCAGTTCTAATATCTCTGTGTGTGTGGCGGGGGGGCGGGCAGACAGACACACACAAGGAGACACAGAGACACACATTAAAACTTGCCTTGTATACCAAAGAAGGCTATTCCAAAAGCTACATGAGGTATGGAAAAGAAACTGAAGCCTTTTTAAAGGATGATTTTCAGTAACTGGGGGTATAGGTTCATGAATTCAAGGAAGATCATAGGAAGAAGCTGAGTGGTAAGTATATAACAAGTGAGACTGTTCCTATCTGTTTAAATATTGGGGTTCCATGTAAAATTTCTGCTTGAGGAATTCACTGTTTTTACAAAGTTTAAATACCACTGTTGCGATTTAACTTTGCTTAGTGATAACACAGACGCTAATACTGATCATATTCCCCAATGATGGGGAACTCACTACCTTACAATTTGACCTGCTCCCCTGTGGTCAACTCTAATTGCTTACGAAGTATTTCCTTTTATTGAGGTGAATACTTCTGCAATGTGTACCCATGGTGCCAACTCAGGATCCTTAAGTACAGCAAACACTGCATCCCTCTTCCACAAAATAGCCACAACCAATAAGTCCTCTAAAAACATTGCTATTATGAAAAGGTACAAGAAACTAACCAGGCAGATAGATCAGTAGGAAAATATCCCAGGTGTTCGCTGTAAGACCTCTGCAGGGGCAATCCAGGTTCTTCTGGCCCAGTAGCATTTTCAATCTTAACTGAAAGTTTTGAGAGGGGGACTCTTTATTTATAAAATTGCTTAAGGAGATGATGCTAATCAAACACACAAGCCCTAATCCTTAATGCGATTGTTGTCTTTTACGCAATAGATTTTACAAAGCAGTACTTTTAAAACTAAAAGCAATTTACAGATTTCTGTGAAGCATAAAACCACCTAGGTTAGAAAGCAAAAACTAAAATACGCTATTGACCCCCATACCTTTAAACCAGATTCTAGTAACTTAGCAACAGGTGTGCTTAAAACACATTCAACTGAGTTTATTTATCAAGTTCCTATTTATAGGTAAATGTCAGGAGACAAAAACCATGCATGAGTCTTCAATAAGCAGCTGCAATGTCAAAATATAGCATCTGAAAATTTTTTTTCCTTTTTTGCAGCTGCTCATCCGTGGAGCAAAGACAAGACAACTGGAAGCTGACGTGGTGATAACCAACAGAAGGACACGGGCGGGTGATGAGCAGCTGCTCTATTTCACTGACAACCAAATAAGAAGAGGTTGCAAAAGCCCTTGGTCACCATGGTTGGCCATTTCCACGAGGAAATGCAAGGACTGGGAGCCACTGGAATGTCACAAACACTCATTCATCTGAATATTTAAAAAGAACGTTAAGAAGTGTTACACTGAATCCCGCATCATCATTCTCACAGGATGATCCAGGAAGTGTCTCTCAGACCCATTTTAAGAAAAAAAAGAAAAAGAAAAAATCTTAATAATTTTATTTTTAAAAATTTTCCCAGCTTTATTAAAGTATAATTAAGAATTTGAGATTGCACATAGTTAAGATGTACAACTTGAGTTGATAATATACAAGTACGTTGTGAAATAATCACCACAATCAAGTTAATTGACATATCCAACATGTCACCTCGTTAACTTTTTTGGCAATGAGAACACATAAGATCTACCCTCTTAGCAAATGTCAAGTAGACAGTACAGTATTGTTAACTACAGCCACACTGTGGGATATTAGAGCCACCGAGTTTGTTCATCTTACATAACCAAAACCTTGTACCATTTGATCAATAATCGTCCCAATTTAACATCATCTTAATTTTAAAAGATTTCTTATCTAGTATCCCAGGCCTAGAAAGACCAAAAATAGTCACAGACCAATAATGATTCCAGTAGAATTTAATTTCCATAATTGGAGTCTGTCCTTTACAAGCCAAATGAAAGTTAATTTAATTAGTTTAAGTGTTTAGATACTGATGATCCGCATAGTACAATAGGCAAAGAGTTTAGAAATGTGAGGTCTAATTGAAGCCTTGACATTAATCCTCTGCATCTAAAATGTAAAACAGAAAGGACAACCACCCTATTAACTTTAAGAAGTAAAATAATTTATATGCGAGTGTTTGGCAAAGTAGAAAGTACAATACAATTGTACATTAGTGCCCTGGCTTTTAGATAGTCACACAATGACACAGCACGGTTAAGTCCATTTTAATGAGTAAGAAATGATGGCAGCTAAGCTACCAAAATAGAAAAAAATAGTGACACAATTCTGCTCCCAACCCCCCACCCAAAACCCTGTGCCTACCGCAGCACGGTATTTGCCAACACACTCTAAACTTCTGAAGATGTTTTTTTTTCTTTCCAGGCAAAGAACATATATTTCTCCCTTTATTTTATTCATGCTTGTTTTTGTCAGATTGCGTAAGCATAGTTTTCAAAGATTTTAATTAGAATTTTCAAACCTTTAGAAATTTTTTACTCACCAGTGTTTGAGAGACATGTATTCCAGTATTTTACCACAATACTCAATTTTTCCATTGTCAGTGGTTCAGTTAAAGTCATATCACCTGCATGTCCTGAAATACAACCTAAGAATCTTTATATTAAATATTGACCTTATGGTTTCTATTTAGAGAAAAAAACAAATACTAAATTTAGCAGGTACATACCTTTAAAATTTTCAGGGATTATAAAAACAAACAGCGAATGTGTGTTTTTCTTTTTGCCAAATCTGAGAGAGGAAAAAAAAAAATGTTAAAATGAAGCAAAATCATTATTCAAAAAAAGGGGATTCAAGAGTTTAACTTACTAGGAACTAACTATAGTGATTTTCTTCATTTCTTTAGAATTTAAAATAATATCATTAATATGGAAATTTAGTAAAAGTGGCATCTCAAATCATTGAGGAAAAAGATGAATCACTTTTTCTGAAAAAAAAAAAAAAAAAAAAAAAAAGCCTAACCCTTATCCAAATTTTTGATCAGATCATCAGTTTACAAAAAATTTCTGGAAGGAAAGAAACATTTTAAAGATGCCATGGGAATGAATAAGCAGAATCTAGAATGGGAGGAATTTTGTAAGACAAATGACTCCTTTTAAAATATATGTATATATTCATATATATATGACTTAGATATATATATTATATTAATATGTAATATATATATATATCTTTAAAGAACAAGACAAAAAAAGAAAGAGAAAAGAGAAAGTTGAATCCTGGTTTTTACAAACTCACAGATTTTTTTTTTTAATTTTTAAATATAGAGACGAGGTTTCATCATGTTGATCAGGCTGGTCTTGAACTCCTCCCAAAGTGCTAGGATTACAGGCGTGAACCACTGCTCCTGGCCAAACCCACAGATTTAAAAAAAATCATATTATAAGATAAGCAGGGATATCTGAATGTTGATGGGATATTTGACAATACTAGAAGTGATTATTAATTTTCAGGTATAATATGATTTTTGTGGTTATTCTTTGAGTCCTCACCTTGGAGAGGTACCAAAGGATTTAGGATGAAATAAAATGGTATTTTCGATTTGTTTTAAAATAATCCACTGGTGGGCAGGGGTGGGAAGGTAGAGAGAGGCAGTATGAGCCAGATGTGGGTAACCGCTGAGGCTACATTATGAGTGCATTATTATACTCTCCGCTTTTATGTCTCGAAATTTTTCAAATAAAACTCTTTCTTAAAGTGGCCTTATAGTTTACTAAAGTCAGTACGGTAAGTCTGGAATTCTGATAACTGAATAAATACTGAGCCTTGGCATTAGACAAAAGAAAATGATTTTCAAGGAGAATGTGACTGTGAAGGAGACTCTAAAGAGAACAGTTTAAAACTACCTAAGAAAAACAAACTATTCTCAAATACTTAAAAACATAGTTTACTGGCATGTGGTTATATATGGTTATTATTTATTCATTAAAACAAGAACCGGGAGCACCCCCACTGTACAACAGTGTTAGGAAGTATACATTCTATATTTCAAATTACATTACATATTAATATGATTTATATATCTGAGTTACACATATTGAGAACCTCTTCTGTGCCAGCTCTGTGCTAGGCTCTGGGGGATATCATGGCAAACAGACAAGGTTCCTGCTCTCACACAGCTAGCAGTCTTAGGGAGGAAAGACATTAAACAAATCACTCTAGATAATTTTGTAGCTGAAAGTGTGTCCAATGCTGGGAATCAAAGCCAAAGGGGCCAATAGGGGCCCACGCCTGGGCAACAACCTGCCTCAGCAGCCTTGGGGGAGGCTTCCAGGCAGACAACACTTGGTGCTGGCTAGACACAAAAAAGGCCAGGGAGAAGGGAAGGGCGGAAAGCAGATGTGCAGCACAGAACATTCTGGGCAAAAGGCACAGCATATGCGGCAGCCCTGGGGTGTTCGAGAACAAGGTGAGTTTGAGAAGGTGCAAGACATCCAGGTCAGCTCTGGCACAGGGCATCTGAGGACAAAAAGCATGAGTGGAGACCAAAGAGTGAGGGAGGGCTGGGCTCTGCTCACAGAAGACTTGTTAGCCCACAGGAAAGCTTTGGGATCCAAGATAAATGGGCAATGGAAGGTTATGAAGCTGAGGAGCAACCAACACAATTATATTTGCATTTCAGAAGGACCACTCTGCCTATGACAGGATGCGCTGGTAAGGGTAACAAGGGTAGACTGGAGAGACCCTTGGCAGTGACCCAGGCAAGAGCTGACGGTAAGGAAAGCAGGCATACTCGCAGATCTTTGGCAAAATTAAATATTTCAGAGTATTGACTAAACTAATTACTTCGGAGTAGCAGGATTATGAAGAAAAGGTGACACCCCATTGAAATCTATTCCGACTTGATTCTGTGCTATGAATTCTGGGGAGTTAAGGCTCAGAATTCATAGCACAGAATCAAGTCTGAATAGATCTCAACAGATCCTTTCTTCTGGGAAGAAAGGAAAGAATGTATGGTTTCTATGAGGAAATGAGAAACTCAGGCAGAAATATACTGTCATCAAAATAGGCATATGCAGGAGGGAGGATAGAGTTTGCCTGGACTACCAAATGTGGAGGTAAGAAAGGCACTTCCTACACTGGTGTGGGTGGCGTGGTGACATGGAGGGAATAGGGATATCAGAATGACACCTGCCAGGATGCCAGCATTTCATATATATATATATATGAAAATAAATATATACATTATAGATATTTAGATTTTTTTTTTGACAGACAGACAGGTAGATACGTAGGTAGGTAGGCTGACTTTTTTTTTTTTGAAACAGGGTCTTGTTTTGTCACCCAGGCTGAAGTGCAGTGGCACGGTCAAGGCTCACGGCAGCCTCAGCCTCCTGTCTCAAGCGATCCTGTACCTCAGCCTTCCAGGTAGCTTGGACTACAGGTGTGTGCCATCACACTCGGCTATTTGTATTTTTAGTAGAGATGGGTTCTCACTATGTGGCTGAGGCTGGTCTCAAACTCCTGGCCTCAGGCAATCTTCCGGCTTCAGCCTCCGAAAGTGCTGAGATTACAGGCAAGAGCCACTGTGGCTAGCCTTGTATATATTTTTTAAGTGATGAGAAAGTGTGGATTATAAGGGGGGTATGGACAACAGAATGAGGAAAGAGAAGTAGAAAGGAAAAATGGACTGAGCAGATGGGACCACTGAAAGAAAATTACTGGGTAGTTTAACTGTTAAAATAAAAAATACTTTATAGTGGATTCAAAAGTAAATTATCATAAGTTAAATACAGTTAAATAATTTTTTAAAAAACAGGTTGTTTGCTTTTAGAAATCTTCCTATGTCCATTTTTGAAAATCTGATATTTCAAAAATTTGGAAATTGATTTTACTGACACAAAAATATGTTAGATTTGGATATATGAATTTATAGGCCCCGATGACTTTCAAATTTCAAGCTTTATATCAGACAGAGGTGGGATTCTTGGACTTTGGTTATTAGCATAGAATCAATAACCAAACACACACTCCCCCGGCTGTATAGGGACTCCAGCAATCGACAGAGTTCCCAGAATCCAATACTCTGGTCTTAAGCTCAGCTGCTCATTCACATTCCCTACAAATCAATAAGCTAAAAGAGTTCTAGTTTCCAGGATCAACCAGAAAATGGTCTCTTTTTCATGAATGAATATTCCTTGAAACAAAACTAAGCAATGCAAAAACAAAACAAAATAAAAATCACTTTTATCCACACCAACTAATACTACTCCCTGTTCTATATACCAAAATCAAATTGCAGGCTCTGAGACCTTCTCAATTAATGTCTCTTGTGTTTTGCAATTCATTTGGGGACAATTCATTTTCCCTCATGTTTCATGATTGCACTATTGAAATGTTTCCTGAGGCTACACCTCACTTTTGAGAGTGGATACCGGTATTCTTGGTTTTCTTCCTATGCCTGCCTGCAGTGCCCTCTGGAACTGGAACCAGCATCCTCAACCTGCAGCAGCAACCACCTGCTGTCTCGCCCCCATCCCTGGGTCTGTCTGTGGTAGCTGACAAAACAAAGATCATATACAAGTGTGATCTTTGTTTTGTACACTCTGCTGATCAAAGGGTCTCAGAAAAGCCCTGGCCTCTGAAATCCGTCATCTAAGAGAGCCAAAGTGGTGTTGTTATAAGTCCCTATGAAGCCTGCGGAAATTTCTACATTTACTGCTCTTAGAGCCATAGGACTTCAAGGGACAAAAGCCAGTATCATCTTTGGGTTGTGGCCTTTTTGAGTACAGTTATCCATGATTCTGTGCAAGGGATAAATGCAGCCCAACTAGCCTGGTATGACCTATACAGAACTTGTAACAAAGAATGTTCTTTGTTAATTACTTAATTAGGCTCTGATAGTTTATTCTGGCTGATAGTGAAGGCTGGTTTGCCCTGTTCCCACTCGGTTCTCTGCAGAAGAGTTCCTGCTGCAGCATTCACCATGTGACAGGGTGCTAGAAGTTATAGAGTTGCCCTCAGTTCCTACTCACTTCCTCCACCAATTTAGAGGAGAAAGGCTTTAGTAAAGCTACTTAGACGGTTTGCTGTTACTGTGTTTATTGTCAAACATTCAGAGGAGTAGGACATGCAAACTGCCTAATAAGATTTAATGAGTTACACTGTCAAGTCAAGGATGTCTTGGAGACATAAAGGGACAACTTAGATCTCTGTGGCTCACAAGATTGGGTTTTCTTCGTGATCAGTTAGCTGGAAAGACAATTGAAACTACCCGGGGGGAGAAATGAAATCAGATTCAAACTTGATTTGTTGGCGGAGCAGATGGAGCCACAGCCTTTCCTTTTGCTAAACTGCTCTGAGCTCATGAGAATCACAGGATCGTAACTGCAGAATCGTTTCATGGAAAAGAAAACCACAACTCCCCATATACTGATGAGTTTAAAACATATTTAAATTTTCTGTACCTGTCTTTGGAAGATAAGTATCAGATGTGTCTGAATTATCAAGGATCTGCCCTTTGAGTATGGCTCAGTTTTGAGAACTTATCTAAGCCAAAAGTAAAATGTCCCTGGAATTCTGGAGTTAAGCATATGAATCCTAAGATGATCTTAAAATATGTCACCACTGGGTAGTGTTTAAGTACATCTGCTCAATAAAAATACACTCTTTCAATACATTTATGAGATGAAAACAAATTAGGCATTACTATTAGGAATGCTAACCTGTAAGTGACATGTACCATAATTCTTGAGCTATTAGTACTGTAAAGTACTGATATTTTATGAATGATTAAAGTCAATCAATCATTAGCACAAAGCCTAAAATGTAGTTTTGTAAGATTAAATTTAAGAATCTTTTAAGGAGGCTGCTTTCATTTTATCTAAAATAAATCTAATATTATGGCTAACAGACAAAACTTCATTCTTATTTGCAATAAAAATCCATAGGACATACATTACAGATATATAGATTTGTGATCATGTGCTCTAACAAGGGAAATATATATGGCCACTTTCATTCTATCATAAACTCCTCATTCATTGACAGGAGATATAAAGCTCCTAGAGAAAGAAGAATAAGGCAAGCAGTTGTACATTATCCTAGACCTACACAGCTTTTGAGCTATTACAAGATAACAACAAAGATCTAAAGAGAAAAATTTAAAATACATCAGAAGAAAAGCAGAGCCAGGCTTTTCATTTTGGTTTAGTCATTAAATACAACCCGAACTCAAAGGGTATAGTGCTTTAGGATAGATGAAGGTTTAAACTCCTTATAAATGGGGCAGTACGTGTACAGGACTCATTACTATAAGAAAAATCATAGGTTGAAAACTGGAAACACTCTCTACAAGGGTTTAAACAATTCAACAAATCATAAACTCATAACAATTCTGAGGGCAGGAAAGAGAACTTCAGGGACATTCATAGTCTCTGAGGACAGCACCATGAAAGCAAAGCTTGCACACACGTGTGCACACGTGCGCGCACACACACACACACACACACCAAACAACTCTGTCCCTTTTCAGAGAGGAGCAAAAAAGTGAGGAGGCATGGCCTGCCTAGGATGGCACTTCTCCCACTCATCCAGTCACTCACTGGAGCTACAGCAAGACAGATAACACCTGCTAGGAGTCAAGACCTTCACTGGGTATTGTGAATAGTGCAACAGGGACAAACAAGGAATACAAATCCAGGTATATTCCACAAAGTATTTGTTTTCTTTCAAACAAATGCTTTCTTTTAAGGCAAAATAACAGAACTGCCATTTGTATAGCTATATACTCAGTACCTTCATCTACTTTGTTTTCTCTGCTAAGAAATCTTAAGCTACATTACTCAGGGCAACAGAAGTTGCCAAGGTGAGTATCAGACAAGAAATTCTCTCCTCTAACCTCCTAGGTTTTAACATCTGCAACCAAACATAAAGCTGGTTCTTAAATAGAACTTCATTCTTATCTTGTTCAAAAGGTAGCTCTGACAGTGAGCAAATGCAAAGCTTTACTCCACTGAGGGAGGCATAACTAGGGTCCTAGTCTTGAAATATAGAGACCAGGGTTCTTTCAAAACCATTATCTATGTTTGGTTTACACCCAGCTAGGCAAATACTGAACCTCAGAGGTGAAAAAGAGGTGGCTTCAATACAAAAGTCAATTAATTACAGACTTCTAGAAAGAAAATGAAGGGAAGCGTCGAGTTCTAATCTAGTTTTATAAAATTAGCCTGAGTTTTGTAAAAATGAGCCGTGTGGTCTTAGGCAAGTCACTTCAGCCTCAGATTTCTGATCTGTCAAGTATTGGACAATAAAATCCTGCTCCAACTGCCTCATGTAGTTGCTGTAAAAAATTTTAAAATACGATATAAATGAGATATTATGATGAGTCCTCAGCCAATGAAACTCTATTTTTTTAAGGTCTGTAATAAAATAAGCATATTCTCAGAAGGAGGATAGTTCACAACAGGTTTTAGAAGTGGAATTCACTTTTAGGCAGATAGTTTGCCTGGTGTGTCTAGAGTTCATGTGCCCAATCTAAATATATTGTAAGTGGCAGGGAAGAATCTAACTCTCCCACCACTGGACTCCAATTTTCTAGAGTTGGAGTGGATTAAAAAGAAGCAGAACCTGGCCGGTTGCAGTGGCTCATACCTGTAATCTCAGCACTTTGGGAGGCCCAGGTGGGTGGATCATGAGGTCAGGAGTTCGAGACCAGCCTGACCAACATTGTGAAACCCCATCTCTACTAAAAATACAAAAAGTAGCCTGGTGTGGTGGTGTGCGCCTGAAATCCCAGCTACTCGGGAGGCTGAGGCAGAAGAATCGCTTGAACCTGGAAGGTGGAGGTTTCAGTGAGCCAAGATAGTGTCACTCCAGCCTGGGTGGCAGAGCAAGACTGTCTCAAAAAGAAAGAGAGAAGCAGAACTTGCATGGAGCTACAAGACGAAATGACAACACTGGAGGTGGTAGTTTCTGGACCCAATGATTCCAGAGGACCTCAAGGCTCCAGGAGACACCTCAGGCTGCAGCTGACAGGACAGAGAGCTAAGAGTGCTCACTTCCTTTAGTGTCTGCCACTACAGTTAATGAACTCTGAAAAGATGCACCATTTTAATGATACAGTAATCAAAAAAGTGTTACGTGTGGAAATAACGTAAGCATTGCATACTAAATAAATTTCTATGACCAATTGATTCTTACATTCTAATCCATACCTATTAGTTTAAAAGTTAAAATAATTCTCATAATAAAATGCCACAAACCGGAAATAAAAACAACATGTATATAGAATCTCTCCATGAAAATATCCCTGATTTTTTTTTTAGAAATAGCACCTCACTCTGTTGTCCAGGGTAGAGCACAGTGACATGATCATAGCTCACTGCAGCCCTCAAACTCCTGAGCAATCCTCCCACCTCAGCCCCCAAGTAACTGGAACTATGGGTGCACGCCACCACACCCAGCAAATTTTTTAAATTTTTTGTAGAGACAGAGGTCTCAGTATGCTGCCCAGGCAGGTCTTGAAATCCTGGGTTAAAGCAATCCTCCTACCTTGGCCTCTCAAAGTGCCAGGGTTACAGGCATGAGCCACTTCCTGGACCCTCAATTTAAAACGTAAAATAGAAATATATCATCTTTTTGGGATTTTTATAAAAATGGGTTTTTGAAAAACTATTCTAAAGATACAGGATCAAGGCTTTTGAAGTTTACCTAATTAACTGGATGGCTTCTAGCTCCTCAGCACTTAGTGAAGAAGGCATCTTCAAGAAAATCATACTGAATATCCAATCATCCAAAAGTGCTGCTGCCTCCTTCAGGTCACTGATGGTGATGGCGACTTCTGCTGTGTTTGAAAATAATTTCTGTACCATATCAGCCAGGTAGCCCACAGTGACATCTCCAACTAATAAGACGTCTATTTTTGCCTGAAAGAGAAGGAAGCAGAGGCGTCACATAATTATTACCTAGGCATAGGGAAAATGTCATGCATGAGAGGATAAGACAAATAAAGCTCACAAATAACACCGTGATTGACTCCACATCTAGTCTGACTGGCTAGATGGTCAAATATAAGCAGCTCAAGGACAGGAACTATTAATTTCACATCTTCAGTACCTAGAAGTAGTGGAACAATCTGAAGGTCATGCTTTTTAAAACATTTTGCCTACTGATGCTATTCTACTTCAGTTTTTCTGCAAATTTCTCTCTCATCCTATTAAACAACAAAGTTCTTATGACTCACTTTCCCAAAAGTCTTTCCTGCTGGAAAATCTGTTTATTGCTGAGGATCAAGGTGGTAACTCTCCCACACAATTTATTTTGGTGAAACACGCATTCCAGGAAACAGAGAAGGATCTAAATTCCTAAATCCTAAGAAACACTGAAATAAAGTCCTTTCAGTGAAATATATGTGCTATTCAAACCTCAATATTAGGAAACAAAATGGCTCTTTATTTGCATTTGGAGGTATTTTCAAGTATATTCAATTAGGAAAAAAAAGCATTCCCATCTTCACCTTTTATTTCTCTCTGTTTTATTCTCTACAGCTAATGAACTTGACCCACTGAAAATGCCAAAGAATGGGGACACTTAAATTAATGGAAGTAGAAGACAATAGGAAATGCCAGGCCATAGACACCTATATGAGAAAACAGATTTGGGAGGTGATTAGAGTTGAAGCCAAAAGAGTGAGTGAAAGAGCCGGAAATACTTGCACAAAGAGAAAGGCATCTTGTCAAAGAAGCAACTCTACAGGGCAGGATGCTGGCGCAGATGACCCCCATGGGCTTCCCTCTCTTTTCGGCCTGGTTTCCTGAGGACTGCAGGAAAGAACAGGTGAGGAGCAAGAAACTAGGCAAGATAAAGTAAGCAAAGCTTCTGCACTTCTACCTGCTCACCTAATTTTCTTCCTTCTTTTTATAAAAAAGTCAATCTTCCTTTATCATCTCTCATATCCTAATTCAATCCCTTCTCTAGAAGCAAGTGCTGTCAAGAGCTTGGTATCTATCCTTCCAGACAATTTTTGTGTCAACCATATAAGTACAATACACACCTATATAGCTTTTCATAAATGGGCTGTTACTATTTTTTGAGGTGAGTTGCTTTTTTCATTTAACAATATAGTTCAACAATTCCTCAAACATTCTGATTCACTGGGAACATTCTCATTTTCCAGGCTGTTATAGATTTATTTTCATAAAAACATGTTTTCTGTTATTTTTGGGGATCAGGGGTGAATGTGCTCATCTGTCATCTTGATCCGGTTCCTTATTTTCGATGATGATAATTGACTGAGACATTCTCCTGGTGTTGGGTTTGGATGTTATTTCAGTGCCACAATGAATACCTTTATAAATACATCTTTGTGCAAATAAGCATATATCCTACGATCAAAACTAGGAAATCAGAAAATCAATTTTTACTTGTTTTGCACACTCCAAAGGATACAAAAATTTATATCCCCATAAACAATATATTTCTCATTTCCCCAAACGCTTAATAAGGCTGATTATTCTTAAACCTTTTAAAATGTTTGCCAATATTGTGAGCAAAAACCTTTATCCTTTTTATCGGCATTTTTTGAACGAATGGAGTAACTTTTCATTTTAGTGGCAATCTGCATCTGATTATCGTGTATTTATTATGCGTGCCCATTTACTCCCTTTGTTCACCTTCCTGTTTACGATTTGTATTTTTCTTATTGCATTGCGGGAGTTTATATAGACTGGATATTAGTCAACTACTTTTTTTTTCCAGTCTGTCACTCTGCCTTCAATTCTGATGCTAAGGTCTCTTGTCACTAGTAAGTATTTAATATTTAGTGACACAGCTATTGTTTCTTTCATGGCTTTGGTGAATTTTATCTTGTTTTCAAAGCCATCTCTATTTATGTTAAAATATGCTTTGGTAGAGTGTTCTAATACTTTTAAGGGTTTATTTTTGCATTTAGCTTTTTATCCTAGCTGGAGTTTATGTGGCAATTAATATGAGGTAGGTATCTGCTTTCATTTTTTTGAAAATGCAGAACTAATTGACCTAACAGGATTACTGAACAGACTAACCTTCTCTCAGTGTTTTCATGAGAGAAGTTTTCACAGTGCCAGGTAGGGGTGTGTCTTGGTGTGTGTTTTTGTGTGTATGTGTGTGTGTTTCTGGACTTCATTCTGATCCACTGATCTATTTGCCTATTCCTGGTTAATACCACACTGCTTAATTACTAGCTCTTTACAGTGTGTTTTGATATAGAGCATATGGTTCCTTCCTTGTTATTTTTCTATTTGGTTATTAGATATTTTCCAACAATTTCTCTTCCAACAGAAATTGGAATCAGTTTGTCAAGGAACCTTGTTAAAGTTTTAATTACGGTTGCCTCTATTTTAACAGTTAATTAGAAAGTATTGTTGCTATATTAAATCTCTGTATTTAGGAGGGATGTGTCTCAGAGAATTTGGGTCTTCTATTATGTTCTTCGGTTTTATGGACTTTCATAGCAATTTTGTATGTGTCCTGGTAAATGTATTCCCAGATATTGCAACATTTGGGGGTCACTGCGAAGGGGATCTCTTTTCTTACTCACTACATTTTCTGACTGATTACAGCTGACATATAGAAGTGCTATTGATTTCTGTATGAAGGAACTTGCTTCAAATAATGCATTTTATAGTACTCTCTGTTCAGTTCTAATACATTTCCGTTGATTCTTCTCAATTTCCTAGGTAGGCAATCATACTACCTTCAAAAAATGATGCTTTTGTCTGTTTCCAGAATGTACGCATTGGCTAGAACATCCAAAACAAGTGTGAATAGTAGGAGTGATAGGAGACATTCTTGTCTTGTTTCTGACTTTACTTGGAGTATTGCAAATGTTTTTACTACTAAATATGATACTGAAGATTTCTGATCAATATCCTTTATCAGTTAAAAAAGTTTCTATTTGGAAGCTAAGAATTTTACATCAGAAAAGGGTGTCGATATTTATTAAATGCTTTTTCAGTATATTATTTTTTATTCTTTGATCTCTTAGGTAGTGAATTCCATTAATAGATTTCCTAATGTCAAACCATTATGGCATTGCTGGGATAAACCTATTCATAATGTGTAATTATACATTTATATAAAATCTTTCACCTTCAGATTTTTGCGATAAACCTATTCATAATGTGTAATAAATTCAATTCTTTCACCTTTAGATTTTTGTATCTGTGGTCATAAGTGAATATCGATATAATTTTGTTTTGTTGTCTTATTTCATTTGGGTATCTGGGTTTTGCCAGCTTTGAAGAATAAAGTATTGAGCTATAGTCTTGAATAGTTTATAAAACACAGAAATTATCTGCATCTTGAGTTTTGGTAAAACATGTCTAGAAAATCAGGTTCTGAAGAAATTTATGGAGGTGGATCTTATACTTCGTTTTATAGTTCCTTATTGATGAATGGCAAATTGAAATTTCCTACCTTCTCTTAAATGAATTTTGTTCATGTACATTTTTACAAATCCATTTCATGTGGATTTATGTTTAATGTTTTAATTTTAAAATATATATAATATCTATTATTGATGTTGAGTTCATTTTGCTTCCTACCTATAAATAAGTTTTTCTTTTTCTGGTAATGCTTTATTGTGAATATAGAACTGTGTGGGCCACTGCATTAGCCACATATGGCAATTTAAATTTGAACTTATATTAATTAAAATTAAATAAAGTTTGAAATTCGGTTCAGTTGCACTAGCCATATTTCACATGCTCAGCATCCTCATGTGGTGAGTGTGGATTAACAGGCTTAACGACACATTTTCATCACTGTGGAAAGTTTGACTGGGCAGCATAGTGAGGATCTACATTTTCCTCCTAGTGGAATTTCGTTGTACACCACGAATTTTTATATATAGTGAGTTCATGTTCATTCGTTGTTAGTTTATCATTTCAGTTGATATTTCCATTTTAATCTAAGACTTTTATTAAATACCTCTACAAAGATACTTTTAATTTTCAAGGGGATAGTGTGGTTTTTTGTGTGTGGGTATTTGTTAGTTGCTCATTTCTTATTTCAGTGCATTGTCAACAATGTGTCTTGAATGACGTCTACGTTGTAAAATGTGTTGACATTTTCTTCATAGCCTAATACACAGTCAGTGTTTGTTAATCGTCCATGGGTTCTTGAAAACAATGTCTATTTTCTGTTGTGCATAGAGCTCTAGCTATATGTTTTAGAGCAAACTTGTTAATTCTTTCTTTGCATCTATTAGGCCTACTTGATCTTTCAGTTTATGAAAGAGGAGTATCAAAATCTCCTTAATTATGCTTTTGTCAATCCATCAATTTCTCTAACCATAGGTTATAATTATGGGCTAAGTACATAAAGGTTCATGATAATGATATTTGTATAAATATATAACTATAATATCTAACAATATGTTATCTGTTTATATAGTATATTAAATAATGTGTACAGATAGATAGATAGATAGATAGATGATTCTATGGAGAGAACAGTACTATATGAAATATACCTCCTTGCCCTTTAATGCTTTTCGCCTCAAATTTTATTTTTGACATACAGCTCTTAGTTCTTCATAACCCCTTATTTTGAACTCTTCTATACCATCTTGATTTTCTCTGACGTTTACAAATAGCTTTTAATTGAATTTATACAGTTTACAATCTGACCTTTCAATTTTTAATTTATAAATTTGAATAATTAGTTACATTACTGACATTAACTAGTGCACATTAACTAACTTCATTAATGTAATATAATGAATTAGCTAATGTTAATTAATTGTGAACATTTACAGTTGAATGTGAAATGACCTTATTCCCTTTCATTTGTTATTTCAGGCTTCCTACTTACTGTAATTTTTTCTTTTTTCCCGTAGCCACTCCTAGGCTGATCAAATTTTCATTTTTCCATCCTGTTGCTCCTA